CTAAGGCGTGCCTCAGAGGTCGGCAAAGAGCTGGATGTGAGGTTAGATGTGGTAGGTTAAATAACCACAGCGCTTGTCTTATTTGTTTGTTGGATTCAACAAGCCTCTGGGTTATTTCACGGAAAGCACTTTGTCGAGTGATGGCCTCGCGTGGCATTACACAACACACTGCGTTTCTTCAGAACAGCCGGTAAAAACCACCTATCGATAAGATTACACTTTCTGCTGCTTTCCTGGCGTCTTGAGGAGGTTGTAGTGGTTCAGGAAATCGCCTTACTCATTGGAATGTTGGAAGATCGATGACGACTGCAGTTTGTGAAAGCGAAAACACCTGGGGTCCATTCTTTCGTGACACTTTGAAACACTTAAAGCCATCATTTCCCAAGAAACGTCTGTGATGGATAGCTAGTAATCAGCGGAATCCAAGGGAACCAGTGGCCTTGGATAAATCCTGCTATGACCGAAAAAAAGTTCAAAGATGAACTACTCATCGTTCATCCATCCTTTTAAAATGAGCCACGCATTCCACTCCCTTCTACAATGATAGTGGCTTTTCAAAGTGGTATGACATATGCAAGGACATGGGACGGCTGGCCGTAGTGAAACTCAGCATTTTTCATCCTCCCAGACGAGCATTAAAGAGCACAAGCGAAGTGATGGAAGGCTGCTTGGGTTGCACGAGAACTGATCAGGGATTGGGCCTCCGGACGACGTACGTGTTAAGCTGGGCTGCTGGTTGTCACTACACTACCCCACCTGCTTCAATTAATAGGTCACTGCCGGACAGCTGGGGCTTAGGGAGAGTTGGAGGGGGGGGGGGAAGAGGGCTGGGTTTAGCACCAATTCAGCACCAAGTGTTGAAGCTGGCAAGCGTCCACAGTTGCTGGAGAAGTTGTCGCTTACCTTAGTTGATAACGGGTGGAGAACGGGCTAGCGCGGTTAAACGAAGCCCCTGAAACGCGTCAGCAGCGAAGATGTTTGTACTTATGTGTAAACAAGTACTATCCGCCAACTGCAACACTCAACTGCCAACCACAATTTACGTGTAGATTTGATAAAACTTTATAGAAAACTAGAACTAACATGCACGTGTACTTATACAAACTCATAAGTTAACGAAGGGAGACTGACGTTGATGCAAAATGCTTATTTAATGCTTATTTAAAGCTCTTTCATATACTGTTTTCAGCATGAAACCCCTCCTCAAAATACTCCATTGGAAACAACTCAGCGCTAGATTCGGGTGCCCCAAACTTTTCAACCTGCTGGATTTAGTAGAGGGTACTGCTAGGGTGTCGGACTCGTGAGACTATCCAATCAAAACAGTAACTTATCGTCGCGAACTCAAATTGACCATAAGAGCCAGGCAGACCAATCAGTTATCCTTTTTACCTGCACTTGATTTTGCTTGCGTTGTAGTTCCACTATGAGCACCTAGTTATTTCAACGAAGCCTCCCTCATGTTCAAACAGGGTTAGTAATACGGCACGAAAACGTTTTATGCCCGCTAATGGCGTATAAAACCTTACCGTATCGTAGTTCTTTCTGTATTTATAAAGAGTAGAGCCTCTGTACCGGTCTCCGCCAACGTGAAATGTTGACAGGTTAGGAACCGAAGACACTCTGAAAGACAGGCTTGGAAAAATGCACCCATTTGTCACCTTTAATTCAGTTCAGCTTTTATAATAGAAGACAGAATATGAAAAACCGGTTCAGTGTTTCAGCAGAATAATTGATTTCTTTGATAGAGACTTCACAACCACTCGCAAATAGCTTATCAAAAAACAAATGAGATAAAAACGATACCTTGTAAGTGTGGCAACTGTACCGAAACGCTCGACCGAACGTGATCTCGGAAGGCAATGCGGTGTATGGGCTCTGTATGCTGGAGCAGACATTACGGTACAGACCACCCAAGGAAAGGTTCCTCGCCAGAAGCAACGATGACTAAGGGAGTGCCCGGATTCGCTACGGGTAGGGTTCCCTACGATACCGCGCTTCTTCTTTCTATTCCAGCAAAGAAGTCACTACTCGAAGCGAACAGAAAAAAATCCAACTCTTACTCTCGTTTATATGGACACGAGAACTATCTTAAACTTCAAGCACCCAACACGACTCCTCCCCTCTCCCGGCGGACCAAATACGAGTCCCCAAACACTCTTCGTGCAGCCGAACGGCACCATGTTGGGGATTCCCGTGATTGCTTCACTTGGTGATGAATTCGTCTCTCGGAGATCGTATGAGACAACGCAGTTGTCGGCCCATACGACTGGATTTCTCTATGACGCCTGTAGTGTGTAAAACGCTCCTCTCATACAATAGCGAGGAATGTATTGCTTGTGTAGGGAGATAAGCCATGATGCATTAGAGAGCTCTACGAGGTCGGCAGCAGGTCTAGTTACCCATCGAAATTCAACGAGAGAGATGGCCACCGCACGGTGAAACGTGGAAAAATGGTACAAAAAATAAAGGGAAGAATTTTTTTATACCGGGGAAAAAAACTCTACAGGCATCTTCTCTGGATATGAACAGGCCGCTGATACTAAATCCGGGGCCGAGAACGTCGAGCGACTTGATTCTACCTCGGCAACTGATAGGCCTCGCATCCGGAGCGAACCTGAGGCGAGGGTTCAAAGTCCCGCTACTTTTGCATTCTGAGTGAGAAGACTACAGGTCACCGACTTTGTACCGTAGTGAAGATAGTGCTTAAGTTCAGGAGAATCGCCCAAACATAGCATGCTCCTGTATGGCTAATACCGCGAAACGGGTGTAGATTTAATTGAGGACTTTGACAGACTCACCGACACTCTGGAGAACAGTATGGTGGAAGTGGGCTCGTGCTGCGTACTCGGCACTTGATTCATGAACGCTTTGCTGGAGGCTGACGATATAGGGACTATAGAGATAAGGTTGCCGGCGGTAATGGATAACGGAAACGCCCTAACGGTGAGATGGAGGTTCAGTACACAGGGTATGTATTTTTGCCAGTATCTCAAGCATTCTTGGTAAACTCACGCAGCGCACAGTTTGTGTAGATGCGCTAAAATCATAACAGCAGCATCGTATCAAATCTAAAAACAGGCTATCATAGAACTCTTTACATTTTTGTTGAGAGTGGAAAGGCTTACACAGATGACAGAACAATAGACGAAAGAAAGCTTGTCAATTTAAATTGAAGAGCAACGCTATCTTATGGACAAGAACTTCTGATAATCGGGCAAACTAGTAAGACGATGCGTTGAAAAGAGGAAGAAAGGCAACTGAGAGCACATAGTTGCACGAACAAAGAAAGTGAAGGCTTATTATAGGTGGGACAAGCCCAAGAGGGCGTGGTTAGACTCAGATCTCGAGCGCCTCACGTTCCTTCTATGCAGTCCCGCCTGATATACTATGGGCAACTATAAAGCACCTCCTCTCTCGAAGCTGAGGAGAATATGGACGAATATAGCTGAATACATCTCTAAGGCACTGTAGACTACGTGCAGCCTGTTATTCATTGAGATTCTGTTGATCTACGGTTTTTTTTCCATTATTGAGCGGTGCCTTGCAATTTCAAAGTCAATGTCGGTCTCAAAATCTTTTGCGCAATTTTTAGTTGATGAGCAGTTGATAACGTCGCAATCAGTAGAAGCGGTTCCACTAGGGATAGAAGGAACCCAAGCGCTTCTGAATCGTTCACTAACCAATCACCACTCGTACATAGAGCGGTGCAATCGGAGGCGGTCTCACTCCGCCCATACTGAGATCGCCCCGCCTAACTGCGACCTTATCAACCATACTTAACTGCAAGCGGTTCATGATGCTTTGCAGATTTTACTCAACTACGGCAGGAAAACCAAAAAGAATTTGATCAACAACTTCATTCAAAGAACATGCAAAACACTGACGATTGATCCCAGTTACAATGACAAAACAACATACTCGCACAGAAAAATATAGCAAATCTCCGAAGAACAGCACAAATACTCGTTTACAGAACCGGTACATCAAAAAGAGATCAATTAAAAGGGACCAATCACAATGATTTACAAGAAAGCATGATGCTGGAAAAAATTGAACCAACGGACAAAGAGAGAACATCCCTTCCGCTTTTGGATCACTTGCGCGCAACACGACGCTTAGGCTCTTCGACCTTCTTCACAATAACTGGAATAATCATAATAACTAATTTAAAGAAAGCTAGGATGAATTCCACACATGGTGTCGGCTTAGAAAATGCCATATCGACGCCCAAGGGCACAGTCTTGGACCCAGGCAGGCGATTACTCAGAAGGGTTTTAAGGGGGCCTCTAGTGATAGAATAGGCTGCACGGACTCTGCACCAAAACTCCCAGCCCAAGTCGACCAAATCTCTACGGATCTTTTAACTTCGAAACTTGCCGGTGCAACATGAAAATTGGGTCAGACCCGTTTGAGTGAGGATTTATTTCAGTGTGGGGAGACGTTTCAAATGGCGTCACGTGCGCAGCATTCACTCCAGGATCGGACTGATCCAACACGGCAATGCTGCAGCGTGTCGACTTAAAGACAGTTGGCACGATGATTTGGTGCTCGGCCTAAAATGCTAGTAGGGCGCTATATAGTGGGGAAATGGCGAGAACGGAGTGAAACGGTCAAAATCCTGCGAAGAAAGAGCCTCCGTTCTCAATGCTTAGAAATCGATTTTGGACGAGTTACCGCTACCGAAGGTACGGCTGCATATGTGTACTCATATATCCATGCAGCATCACGGCCGCTTCATACCAATCCCTTCGCTTCATAATTTGCTTAGCAAATGAATCGATTAGAGCGTCAGGAACGGTCGTCCATTTGTGGGCGGGCGGGCGTGGCGGGCGTTTGGGTCGGAATGTTGTGGCTTGATAGGGCCCTTATAAGGGCACCTCCCTTGGAAAAGGCATTATGCAGCGCCTGCTCAGGGTCGCGGAATTCCGTCCTGCCAGGCGTATTTCCTACTCTTCTTGGGGGATTTATCGTGCCAACTGCCTTTAAGCGGGGAGATACCCTGTTGGTCTGCGCGCAGGGTCACATCTCGAATGTAATGAACTACACCACTCGAGCGGAGGAGGGAGTGATTGTTTATTTCTCAGTTCCAACGCATTAGAAGCGCGGATTCAGTTGAGGTCACTGAACATCCCAGAACACTGCTCACTTATGCAGAACACCACAGCTATCGTCAACATCAGCTATTCCCTAGAATCCATTGTACCATTACAATAAACTAATACCATCCCATTAGTATAATACTCCCCCCTATTACAACAAAATAGTACCACTTCAGTGGAGCTGCTTTCATCACTGAGAGGGGCACTGACCTATTCTCTTCTTCTTCTTTCCTCGTTTGCCGGCAGTACCCGTGGGATGAGGCTGGAAAAAATTTAGAGTAATCTATGAAGAAAATTTATGCTGCTAAAACATTTACTCCCTAGAAACGAAACTAACCGCATCAGTAGCGTGCGCTGCGGAAGTACAAGGTGCATTGCATGAACAACTACCATATTTGGCCTAAATTTATGCCATGATTTCGGTTGGTTCTCAGATTGTTATGGGAACTATTTCTGCTTAATACATGAAAAATTCTCTTTATGAACGTACAGTCCTCATCATTGCGGACCGGTGGGGCGTGGCAGTGCGGCTGCGTTTGGTGCGGTTTGGCAAAGTCGTTCTGCACCAGTTTTTGAAGCGGGCAAGTGCATTACTGTATTATATCCTTCGTATTACTCGTTTTCTACCACTTTTTGTCGCATACGCGTTTCAACAAAAAGGCTGAGAACGGCTTCAACAGTGTGCGCACTCATACTGGCTGACACGCCCCACCGGTCCGCAATGATGAGGACTGTACCCTCTTGACGTCCGAGGCGGAATCAGCAGAAGTCATCCTCGCTGCGATGCGGACACTGCGACGCAATGGAATTGCTGAAAACATGACATGGTTTCCTTACAAATAATATTTTGTCAGTAAACAAACGTTAATCTTCCATCAAACTTTTTTGGTTGTAATTGTGACTTATTGGATTACCCAGCTCAAGTTCAGTTATATCGTCATCATAAGCAGCGCTCTCCTGAGTACCATCATTGACAACGTTGTCACCATTGTTGTTGTCATCCTTCGGAACCACAACCTGCAATGCCATTAACTGGTTAAATCGATTTGTATGTGGTCAACCCATCTCACACCTCCATAGCTGGAACTGGTAAATCATCTCGTTCTACACCAGCCAATTCAGTGACGGTATTCGGTCCTTTAGGCTCTTTTATCCCAGTATCCGTTTCGAGATTTTTCTGCAAACCTTCTGATAGAAGCCTGTGAGGTTCAAAAGGTTCAACTATGAATTCAATGGCCCGCATTCTGAACAAAGGTACACAAATTATCTAGCTTCTTCGAGCGAAACGAACCTTGATAACTGCGGC